GCCTGCTCTCGGGCTGCTCCGGGAGACGTTGGACAACAAGGAGAGCGGGGGGGCGGGGAATGAGGGGGGCCGCTATAAATAGAGGGCGCTCGCAGGCGGGGGTGGGGGAGAGGATGGCCAACGGGGACTCCGAGGTCAAGGCCTCGAGGGGGGACAGGGGAGGGGCCGGGGACCCCCAGAGGCTCTGACTCCTGGGTAAACAGGAGCAAGGGCGGAGTTAACCCTGCGGGGGTGGAGTAGGGGCTTGGGGAGAACGCAGTGTCCCGGGCTGAGACCCAAGAGACCCTGTGGCTTCGCCGCTAACCCCTCCCAGTCCGGCCCTGAAAAGGAGACCAGCTCAGACCCGCTGAATCGCAAAGCCCAGGCGATGGTCTTAGGGACTGCCGCGTCCCTCTCGGTGCCTGAGTGGGTATGCCACTCCAGACTTCAAACACACACACATACACACCACCCCAGATGAGTCCTCCTTGTGCCCCTCAGAGGAAGGCTCCCTGGAATGGGATAGTTGATTAGATGATGTGGCTAAGGGAATTCGAAGCTGTTTAGGCGAAAGGAAACCTGAGGGAATTTCTCCCCACCTGTCCCCCTTGTAGCTCCCCAGTCCCAGGATCATATCCACCCCATCCCCCTTCAGCCTGGTTCCTGAGTTGCCATTTCGGGGGCTGGGCGCCAGGCCAGTCAGGAACAATGGCCAATGGAACTTGAGCTGCCAACTGCAACACCAGCACCGACTGCCCCCCCAAGACCCCCAAGTTTCCCTGCCCCCTCCTGCCTGGGAACCACCCTCCCACCGCCACCCTCACCACCCGCGATACCCCTCCCATCCAAGGAACATCAATGCCCCTTTCATCCCCACTTGGCAGGGTCTACTGGAAAGAAGGAGAGGCCAAGAGGGAGGAGGTGACCCAGAGTAGGAGAACTGGTCGGGCTAAAACCCAGCCTTCAACAACCCCAAATCTAAGGAGACCCCCTACGTCCCCCAGTTTGGAGAATCCAACTTTTCCTCTGTTCCTTTCTCCCACTCCCTTTATAACTTTTTCCCCAGAAACTGGCACAGAAGCTGGGAACCCTGGCTCCTCTCCTAGTCCCCTCTTCCCTCTGGGTGCCAGTTTAACACTCTCTTGGACAAGGACAAGGAAAAGCCTGCTGGAATGAGGGTCATCGCCAAAGATGCGCAAGACATGAGAGATCTCACCAGCCCCCCGAGGAACCTGGGGAGAAGGAGCGCCTCGAGGGAGGGCTTTTGCCTGCAGGCTTTTCTTTGCGGAAAGTAGTCTTACTTAGAGTGGGGGAGGGAAGGACCTGAAGGTTCCAGCATCTAAATTCGTCTCTGGGTCAGGATGACTCAGGGGGAACCTGATAAGGGGACCACGCGGGGGCGCGGGACGGGCAGGAGGTGGGAAATTTCCACTGAGATCCATTGGCTTCCTAGACCTAGGGGTCTCACCCAGCCTGCTGCAGGCAGAAGTAAGGCTGGTACCACCCCAAGATAGGGTTCTTCCATGCCAGGGCAGCTCCCAGCCCGACCAGTGTGTAAGTATCGAAAGGACAAGCTCTCTCTCTCTCTAAACTCTTTCTCTTTGGCCAGAGCAGCTTCAAACTGTACCTTTGGCTAAGCAACAGTTTTAAGTATCTGCTATGGGCAAGCCACCGTGTAGATGAAATTCAAAGTGTGAGTCTTGTCACACCCCCTCTAGATGTTTGTGATGGAGTAGTCAAGAGAAGGTACAAACACAGGACAAGTTAAGAAAAATTATGTAGGCAGGGCCTAGTGGTCCATGCCTGTAATCCCAGCCCTTTGGGAGACCAAGGCAGGCAGGAGTTGGAGACCAGCTTGACCAACATGGTGAGACCCGTCTCTACTAAAAATACAAATATCAAATATTGGCTGGGCATGGTGGTGCGGGCTTGTAATCCCAGCTACTCGGGAGACTGAGGCAGGAGAATGGCTTGAAGCTGGGAGGCAGAGTCTGCAGTGAGCTGAGATCATGCCACTGCACCCCAGCCTGGGTGACAGAGTGAGACTCCAAAAAAAAAAAAAAAAAGTATGTATATATTAGCTGGGCATGGTGGCGCGTGCCTGCAATCCCAGCTACTCAGGAGGCTGAGGCAGGAGAATTGCCTGAACCCAGGAGGCGGAGGTTGCGGTGAGCCGAGATCGCGCCATTGCACTCCAGCCTGGGTAACAAGAGCGAAACCCCGTCTCAAAAAAAAAAAAAAAAAAGTATGTATATATAAGATCAATTATTTGGACAATAAGTCCTATAGCAGTAGTTTCCCACCCTTCTCAAGTGGGAGATCAGAGACTTCTATCCTCACATAATAGTTTTAGTATCTCCTGATGGAGAAAATACAAACTATGAATTCATCAATACTTTGAAGTAAGTTTCTGTCATAACACCTGTAAATGTAGTAATACCTACACATGCAAGGCATATTATTTACTCAGTTCACACTCGCTCTTTATACATACAGATTCTCGGGCCCTTTGCAAGATTTCAGAAATCCTCACGCCAGGAGGCTGTGGCCCACAGTCTAGAAACCGTTATCTTACTATAATTGAGAGAAGGAAAAGGGCTTTGTTCCCAGGGTGAACCACCCAGATGAGAAGTGCAACCATGGAATATTTGAGTGGGAGTGAGAGGCCTTCTATCCAGGCAGACAGAGAGCATGAAGGACAGTGTGGAGGCAGAAACACCAGGTTACTTTGGAGAACTGAACAGTAGCTTCCCATATGTTATCCCCGAAGACCATAACGTTAGTGTTACTGTCCTCACTGTACAGATGGGAAAATGGAAACTCAGGAATGCTTAGGGACTTGCCCAAGTCCACTCTGCTAGTAAATGACATATCTAGGATTTATTTCCCCACCCAGATCCATTCCACTGCAGGGACTATGCTCCTTCCACTACCAGGTAGCCTGTCAAGTGTGTAGCAGTTAGGCCATATGACCCCAGCTGAAGAATAAACTGGTTCTTAGATTTTTTGTTATTTATTTATTTATGTGATGGGGTCTCACTCTGTCAGCCAGGTGGGAGTGCACTGACACAATCCTAGTTCACTGCAGCCTCAAACTCCTAGGCTCAAGCAATCCTCCCACTTCAGCCTCCTGAGTAGCTGGGACTACAGGTGCATGCCACCACTACCAACTAATTTTTATTATTTATTTATTTAGAGACAGGGTCTCACTTTGTTGCCCAGGCTGGTCTCGAACTCCTAGGCTCAAGCGATTCTCTCACTTTGGCCTCCCAAAGTGCTGGAATTACAGGCATGAGCCACCATGCCCCATCCAAGAATAATGTTGATGAGAGGTGGGTGATGTTTGGTAAGGTAGATTGGGGCCTAGTTAGTTGTACAGGTCCTTGAATGCTAAGCAAAAAGGTTTGGCAATGAGAAGCTGTAATATATCTTGAGCCATAGAATATCCTTGAGCAGGAGTAATAACAAATACTATTTTGTGAAAAATTAATCTGATGGGGAGGAGGTAATAGGGATGGATTATGGGTGGGTGGGAGTGAAGAATTAGATTTTGGAAAGAGATCATTTAGAAGCCAGACTAGTCATCCAGATATGAGATGATAAGAACTGGAATAAGGGTGGAAGTAACAGGAATAGAAAGAAAGGAATAGATTTGTAAGACAAAGAAAAAAACAGAAATTGGTGGCATTATTAGATGGGAAGAGGAAGAGAGTCACCAATCTCGTTCTGTTTTAGGATCCCTGAGGCTCGTCTATCTGTAGGGCTTCTGGCCAGAGAAAAGGCCAAAGAGAGAAAATCCTGAGGAACATCTCTGACCTGCATAGAAACTTATCTGAAGATTTTCAGAGTCTGAGCCTCACTCTCAGTCTGACCCAGTTTTATCCTGATCTGTCCACATCCGTTACACTCCAAGGCCTACTGGGCCCAACATTGGAAGCCATTTAAAGTTTCCATTGAGTCTGGCCTTTTAAAGCCAGTGGGATTCTCCATGTTGGTCACTATACATGGGCCTGGAGACTGGGGAAAAAATACCAACCTGTTTTCATTAACTGCTATGGTCTGAATGTTTATGTCTTCCCAAAATTCATATAGTAAAATCCTGACTCCCAGCCGGGCACGGTGACTCACTCGGTGACTCACTCACAGGTGACCTGTAATCCCAGCACTTTGGGAGGCTGAGGCAGGTGGATCACTTGAGGTCAGGAGCTTGAAACCAGCCTGACCAAGATGGCAAAACCCCATCTCTATTAAAAATACAAAAATTAGCCAGGCATAGTGGCAGGCACCTATAATCCCAGCTACTCAGGAGGCTGAGGCATGAGTCGCTTGAACCCTAGGAGTAGAGGTTGCAGTGACCCAAGACCACACCACTGCACTCCAGCCTGCATGACAGACCACAAGACTTTGTCTCAAAATAAAGAAAGAAATAAAATAAAATCCTAACTCCCAAAGTCATGGTATTAGGAGATGGGGCACTTCGGGGGGTGATCAAGTTTTATGAGGACAGAGCCTTCCTGAATGGAATTCCTTATAAATAGGCCCAAGGGAACTCATTCACCCCTTCCACCATGCAAGGACACAGCAAGAAGGTGCCATCTGTAGACCAGAAAGCAGCCCTCACCAAACACTGAATCTGCCAGCACCTTGATCTTAGACGTCTCAGTCTTCCAAACTGTGAAAAATAAATGTCTGTTGTTTATAAGCCACCTAGTTTAAGATACTTTGTTATAGCAGCCCAAACAGACTGAAACACCTTCCCTGGGCTCACCTCAGCTTCTGTGGTGGGGCAGAGCATAGGCAATTTGACTAGCACCCTGAGGATGGGTAAGCTGCGCTGAAATGATGGAAATGTGTTCATCTGAAAAGGTCAGAAAGTTGGCAGTTTGCCCAATTCAGCATGCAAGGTAGGGAGACTAAAAGCTCCCTCCTTTGAAGGCAAGGCCTGTAGCTGGGGCCAGAAGTGATGTCACATAAACACTGCTGAGGTCATAGAAGCTTCCCTCTCCTCCCTCTGTCTCCTCATTGCCACAGCCAAGGGGCTCCCACATATCTGCACGCACTTAAATACAAAGGCCGGAAGGGTCGGACCACCATCCAGGTACTCTTAGGTACACAAAAGAGAGGGAGGAAGAGAGGACCGTTCAGTAGGTAGGATTCACACTGTTATCTCCAGTGCTGAGAAAGGGAGACTCATGTTGTAGCTGTGTAGGTGCCATGGGAGCAGGGAGGGAGAGAGGAGACAGCAACAGGGAAGAGGGGAGCTGTTCCTGTTGCTGACTGATTTTACCTTAACACTCGTCCTCATTACTCCACAGTTCTCCCTCCCTCTCCTCCTTCACCCCCAAGTCTTTCCCACGACCGCCCTCCTCCACCTCTAGCTGACCATGGAATCTGAGGCAGAGAAAACATTCCATCGGTTCGCCGCCTTCGGAGAATCATCAAGCAGTGGCACTGAAATGAACAACAAGAACTTCTCCAAGCTGTGCAAAGACTGTGGCATCATGGATGGCAAGGCGGTCACCTCCACGGATGTGGACATCGTGTTCAGCAAAGTCAAGTGAGGAGCCAAAGCTATGGGGGTGGGGGTGAGAGGACGTGCAAGGTAGTTGGCTCTGGAAGGGTTCATGTGGCGGAACACTTGCAGTGGGCCTACCGAGCAAGCACCGCACGGTACCTGGCACTGTGCTATTCTTAGTCTTTGAGACACTCACTGATGGGACAGAAGGGCCAAATCATGAGTGAGGAATGACTTGGACCTTGGAAGGTAATGCATTCATGCTCTAAAGTTTCTGGATTTCTGTCTAACTGACCAGGGCCAAGAACGCCCGGACCATCACATTTCAACAGTTCAAAGAGGCAATGAAGGAACTGGGCCAGAAGCGCTTCAAGGGGAAGAGCCCGGATGAAGTCCTAGAGAACATTTACGGACTCATGGGGGGCAAGGACCCAGCCACCGCTGGCACTACTGTGAGTAACAGTCTTCATCCCTACCCCTTGACCCACTTCCCTAAATCCCTGTTGCTCCAGTCTGGCCTCGCTGTGACTGTAAAGACAGGGCAGAAACAGACTTTAGAGATTGTCTAGATATCCCAGAAGTGAAGAAAATGCGGTTCAGAGAAGGGAAGTGACTTGCCCAAGGTCCATGGCTATTTTAATAATGGATTTAGACTAATTCCCAAGTCTCCAGTAGCTGAGCCATGCTTGGTGGCTTGGTGGCTTTTGGAGGACATTAATGTAGAGGATTTGGTACCTGATGTCCACTCCTATTCCAGTTTTTATTTAGGATTTAATCTCAGGCCTCCTGCCTCTCACCTACTCCCTTTTTCAATTGTCCCCTCTGAACTAAAAGCTCTTTCTACAATGGATATTGGGTAGGGGGTTGGAGGTAAAGTCCTCTGGCAGCAGCCTAATTAAAATAAGTCCTCTGGCAGCAACCTAGTCAAAATAACTCCTCTGGAAACAAAAAAACCCACCCTCCCTCTGCACACACCACACTCATTCCCATACCACACTCCTCTCCCCAGTGAGTGAATGGCACTTGCCAGAGTTCCTGCCCACAGCTGCATCTGGGCCCTAAGAAAGCAGCACCCATGCCAGCAGCAGAGCAAGAGCTCCGAGCACTTGTTCTAAGTATCTCTGGCCATCTTTGGGGAAGGGATGTGACAGTGTAAGGGAAGGAAGAGGGCTCAAATCTGTCCTCTGGCTTGCAGAAAGCAACAGCAGTGGGTGCAGTGGACCGTTTGACAGACACCAGCAAGTACACCGGCACCCACAAGGAGCGCTTTGATGAGAGCGGCAAGGGCAAGGGCATTGCGGGACGGGAAGAGACGACTGACAACACCGGCTACGTGAGTGGCTACAAGGGTGCTGGCACCTATGATAAGAAGACCAAGTAGAGAGGAGCTTCATCTTAGCCTGCTAGCCCCCTAATCCTGCATGTTTAACACCAGGGAGCTTGAAAAACAATAAACATCTGCGTGTGTGCAGCAGCTAAAAACTCTGTCTATGAGGGACAAATGGGCCTGCCGGTATAGGGAGAGGGAGAAGAGATAGCTGCAGGAGTGTGGGTTCTCAACCACACACCCTTCACTCTGCTTAGCCTGATGCCTACCAGCCATCAGTTAGCGTTCCCCCTCAACAGCTGCTTCCAAGAACAGGGTGGAAGAATATATTTGGAGTTAAGAGTTGAACCAGTTGTGGAGATAAAAGTATTTGCTACTTGTGTTCACACATGACTGGTATTCACCTCTCCACCCCACCCCCCAAAAGGGTGTAGCAATTCCTGATGTGATGGACTATGAACAAGATACCACCTATTAGACCTTTCCCTGTCCCGCCACCTTCCTCATCTGTTGCAATTCAGGTTTTGCTGGGGTAGAAGTAGAAGCCAGCTAACATGGCCTGACTTCTGTTACAAATTTGTTCCAGAGCTGGGGCAAGGGGAGAGTCTATTTTCAACACCCAGCCCAGCACTGAGTTTTGCTCCACATCACCTCCATCATGGTGTACATGGGACAGAAGATCTTAGTGACTGCTAAGGGTAGCCCAGGAAGATGACCAGACGGGGGAGGCTGCCAAGATTCCAAGAGTAGGAGTTCCGGTGCACTGAAGAAAAAGGAATTAAAATCACAACAGAGTCAGATGTGCATTCCTAACTTTTTATTTTGAAATGATTATGGATTCACAGGAAGTTACAAAGAAACAGTACAGAGGGGTCTCGTGTGCCCTTCACCCAGTTTCCCTCAATGGTTACATCTTACATACTCAGATGTGGTTTTAGAAATTTATGTTTGATTAGAGCTGGGCCTCCCTCCTTTTCCTGCCTGGCCAGGGGCAGACTCTTGAGTCTGGGGGATTTGGGAGGAGCTGCTAGAAGAGAAGGGAAGCAGGAACCTCTGGGGGATGGGTGAAAGACAATACCTTGAAATGCCAGTGAGCCAAGGTAAGAAGACTGGAAGAAGGCCGGGCGCGGTGGCTCAAGCCTGTAATCCCAGCACTTTGGGAGGCCGAGGCAGGTGGATCACGAGGTCAAGAGATCGAAACCATCCTGGTCAACATGGTGAAACCCCGTCTCTACTAAAAATACAAAAACTTAGCTGAGCATGGTGGTGCATGCCTGTAATCCCAGTTACTCAGGAGGCTGAGGCAGGAGAATTGCCTAGACCCAGGAGTCGGAGGTTGCGGTGAGCCGAGATGGCACCATTGCACTCCAGCCTGGATAATAAGAGCGAAACTCCGTCTCAAAAAAAAAAAAAAAAAAAAGAAGACTGGAAGAAAAGTAAGTTGGAAAAAGGAAGGCAGGGTAACTAAGGTGGTTGAGAGTGTCGGGGAGAGACAGCCCTAGGCTCCGTGGTAAGAGGAAAGAGGAGAGGACAGTTATATGAAGGGAGAAGCAATGAATTCACAGAGAGAAGCAGGCTGGAAACTGGGGGTTGTGGGAAAATGAGGCTAATATGAGTCTAAGGGCCTCAGGAAGGTTCCTATAGATAGCCATACCCCCTGTGTAAGTGGGTTCGTGGAGGTAATTGTAAGGGAACTGGGGGCGCCTTAGATGAGAAGGGTGTTGGGGATGGCGAGGTGAGACTCAGAGCTGGTGCCTGTTGCCATGGTGTGAGCTGAGGCCCTGGGCCTCCATCCAGGACTTAGGATCTGGCTCAGTGGGTGGACAGTCACTGCCAACTGGACAGAGTCAGCTTCTTGGGTGGGTTTTACTGTCTCTGGGAGAGGGAGGATGATGAGGAGATGGGAGTGAAGAGGGGGTAAACAAGCTGGAAAGAACCTAGAAGACAGCACCACTTTGCATGGTGATCAAAGCTCTGGACATTTTCCTACCCACCTGGTGTCTTGGGAGGGGACCCTGCCTGTCTTGGAAGTCAGGAAGGAAGTCTTGTTACAGGGATCAGAATGTTGGAAACGGAGACAGGCTCGCCTGTGGTGGTAAAGGTTGTGGAGTGGCTCAGGAACTAAATGCCCTAATGGAGACCAATGATACCTATTGGCTCAGCCTCATACTTGCGAGAGCAAAGTAGGTAGGCCTTTTGGTTGGTTTCAGTGCTATTGTAGTAGCAGCTGTTGGGTGGCTGTTGGTGGCTCAGGGAGCAGACTGTGATGGGGAAGGCATCCTCGGTGAGTGTGCAGTATTCATTGTAGTTTTCACAGAAGCTCTCACTTTCCTTGCAGACCTCCTGGATGGCTTTCCAAGGGGCATGCATCACATAATGGATCTTTGGGCAATGTGGAGTTTGTATCTTGCCCCGCACATAGGCCATCAGACCATTACAATAGCCCTGGAAACCTTTTGGGTAGATAACCTTGGGATAGTCGATGTTTAGGATACGGAAGTTCCTGGTGCCAAACTGCATCTTGATGTCCGTGGCCAGAGTTGGCCCTAGAACAAGCTGGAGGAAAAGGAGCTGGGTCACAGCCGGTGCCATTCCTCCTGCTGGTAGAGTTAAGGTGGTTGGAGACAGCAGTGGGCCTAGAGTGGCTGTCTGCCCCATCCCAGAGCCTCCAGCATCCCCAACCCAACATTACTTCAGAGATCAGCTCTCCCATAACCCAGTCCTCATGACCCAGAAAGAGAAGATGCTTGCCCAAGGCCACCCAGCCAACCAGCCACCTTCAGCCTTTCCTGCCCTTGGTTCACCACAGAATCTCAGCCTCTGCAGAATCTGTGAGCTGCAACATTTGCAGAGTAAGAGCTCTAACTGGCCCTTGGGTAAGAGACTCTTCCCAATTATCCCTGGGCCCCTGGCCTCCCTGCTAGTAAAAGATGAAGAGAGGAAAGAAGGAGCAGGCTGACCTGATAATTCTCTGGCAGCTGGGAGGAAGGACAGGTGCTGAAGACAGCTGGTTGGGGACAGGTATTCTTTTTGCCTGAGGCCAGGACAGCCAAGAGATGAGGAGAGGCTAGAAAGGTTTCTGATCAGTCTGGGAGGAGGAGTGTCCCCTGAGTTTGATGGGCCCCTGTGCTGAGGGGGTTGGATGGGTGGGAGGAAAGAGGCATTGCTGTCTGGTCTCCTCCTCTCCGGCACCATTAGAACACTTAGTTCCAACCTCCTTGCCAAAAGTTCCGAAGTGCCTGGGCTTCCTTTGATGTTTTCTCTGTTCCATAGGCTCTGCTCTCGTGGTCAGGTGAGTAGGAAAGCACTGTTATGTTTCCTGACCCTCAGAGAACAGAGGGTTCGCCACTTTGTCATCCCACTCATGGGAGCCCAGGAGGGCATGTACTCAGGGGCCTCCCACCAAGGTGCTGGGCTGAGAATCAAAGACCTCCATGTGAACTCCCCACAGCCCCCACCAGCCTTACTCCTGTCACACCCACAGCCCTCACCTGCGACCTCAGGCCCTGTCAGAGTCTGAGCACTGCTGGATATCTCTGCATGCTGACTCTGAAGCCTCAAACTTGGCAGATTGGATTCGAAAGTATAACCTGAACCTGAGGGGCTGTGGATGCCAGAGGCTGGGGTGATCCATTTCTTGCTGTTGGGTTGTCTCTGAGTGGTTTGCCATGCTGGGGAAAGGGCCACACTCCTCTCTTTTTCATCAACATCTCGCCTTTCATCAGAATCAAAGAGCTGGCCCCCTGGAGCCTGCTAGCCCTCACCCTTGACTTCCACAAGTCACTCAGCCCTGTCTGTCTGCAGGGTGTCTTCCAGATTTGGGGCTTCCTCTTAGAAGAGCCTTTTCACTCTTGCCGGACAGCAGAAGAGGGGAATCAGAACACAGAAAGTTGAGTGCTCCAAGACCCCCAGTATAGCTCAGGAGGAGGGAGGAAGGCTGCAGAGACAGATTGGTGTTCCTCATGCACAGCCCCCTAAACTGGCACTTTCTGACAGCACAAACTACAGTCCAAAATGAAATCCATGCTCCCCACAACTTGTTTCTCTTCCTTTGTTGTGTGTCTCAGTTTCCCAGTTATCTATGCAGGAAACCAGAAAGTGATCTAGACCCCTCCACCTCCCCAATCCCGGCTACTGGGAGGCAGTTCGGCATGGTGGTTAAGATCAAGGCTTTTGAGTAAAACAGACCAGGAATTGAAACCCGGCTCTGCAGCTTACATGCTGCATACCATCTATCTGCTTACTAACCCACTGAAAGCTTCCTTGTTTCATCTTTTATGAGGATAGTACTTTTTACCTCACGGCAGTATTAGGATTCGTTAAGATGTATATCAAGAGTTTTTAGCCCAGTGCCTGGCACATGGTGGGTCTTCAATATGAGCCTGAGCTCATCAGTCTCGCAGCCCTGACAACCTTAAATCTTTCCCAAGCCCATCTCTTTCATTCCTATTTCTTCCTCAGTAGATGCTCTTGCCTCTTCTGGACACCACACATTCTCCAACTCCAGTAAGACTCAACTCAAATATTTCTCTTATACAACTTCAAGAGAAAAAAACGTAGTCCCTTCTTTTGTCTAAAACTTTCCAATAGCTCGTTTCTTATAGGGTAGGTGTGCCCAATTTTTTGGCTTCCCTGGGCCACATTGAAAAAATTGTCTTGGGCCACGTAAATACCCTATCACTAACAATAGCTGATGAGCTTAGAAAATGAAAAAAAAAAAATTGTAATGTTTAAGAAAGTTTACAAATTTGTGTTTGACTGCATTCAAAGCCATCCTGGGCCATATGTGGCCTGTGGGTCATGGGTTGGACAAGCTTGTTGTAGGGTATAGTGCAAACTACATCTCACGGGACATAAGACTTCCCATGATCTTGCACCTGCCCATGTGTGCAGCCGCATCTGCATCCGTGCCTGCTTCCCACCTTGTCCCCCACCCCCTCCACGCCCCGTCTCCTGCTGTCTCCTCTACCTGGAATGCTGCTGCTGCTCCACTCCTTACCTTCATCTCTTCCACGGTGCTAGCTCATAGAAATACTCAACCCAGAGGTGCCACTTAGAAAGCCTTCGCTTGGCAGACCTCCAAGGAAGTGGGCACAGTCAAGCAAGGGAGGATAAAGCCCACGTGGGCAGGTGGTTTATCTATATTCTTCAGGATGCTCAGCAAGGCAACACTGGGTGGGCACCAATGCAGGGTGGTGCCTGAGCCTGGCTGACTCAAGCCTTTGCTTTGAGCAGGTCTCCCCAAACTACGGCCCCCCGCGGGCCACATGCGGCCCCCTGAGGCCATGTATCCGGCCCCCCGCCGCACTTCAGGAAGGGGCACCTCTTTCATTGGTGGTCAGTGAGAGGAGCACAGTACGTGGCGGCCCTCCAACGGTCTGAGGGACAGTGAACTGGCCCCCTGTGTAAAAAGTTTGGGGACGCCTGGCTTTGAGGAAGCCAACAGCATTGTCATTCCTGCCTTGAATCGTGCCACTTCTTCCCTGGTCCCTCAAGGCTACAGCTTCCTTGAGAATAGAAAGGGACTTTTTATACCTTTTGGCCTTCCTCTTCCTTCACTCTCCACCCGCCCATCACCGCTCTTCACTCCCCCAATCCGCCACCACTCACTTTGGCATACGCAATTACAGAAACTGAACAGCACATTATAGAGGAATGCATTCAGGACTTAAATGATTTAATAATGTTGAGTCTTTGGGTTACCAACTGCAATCCTGGTGATCTGTTCCCTAAAATCCTATCCTAGAGGTGCTGATGCATAAGATTACTTCATCCATTCTGACATCCTCATCATGGTTTCATGTGCTCCCCAAGCCTGAGATTTGTGGGATTGTTACCCCATTACACTGGGCCTTACATACACAAGCATTACCTTAGGAATAAAAAACTATGTTCTAGAGGGACGGTGGCTTGCTTAAGGTCATATGTCTAATTCAGTAGTTCCAGGGACAGTTTGATAATGTCCAGAGACATTTTTGGTTGTCACAACCAGGAGTTGCTACTGACCTGTGGCCAGGGATATTACTCCACATCCCACATTTCACAGGACAGCTTCCGTAACAAAGAGTTACCCAGACCAAGATGTAAATAACACTGAGTTTGAGAAGCCCTGGTCTAAATAATTAGCTAATCAAATTTCTTAACAAAAGCAGACTTACTTGTGTCTTATGTATTAAAAAGAATTGACAAACATCTGGGACTTCAAAATATTTTGTTAAACAGATTTTGATTGTGATGGTGCTGATTCTACCAGCCAAATGTGTATTGATAGTTCACCATTGAAACAATAACAGAGTTGTTTTTCCTGTAACGATGACCCTCTGCATGTAATCATTTACACATTCTCTCCCTGCCCTCCCCAGTGGGAAGCATTTGCAGAACAACCAGCTAGGGTGGCAGGGGTAAGAGTGACTCCCTGTGACTGAGGAGAACCCCCAAATTTTGCCATGATCTCAGTGGCATTACTTTTGCCCTGTCCAATTCAAGTTGCTCAAATAACATACTGTGTCATGGACAGTTCCTGAGCTGTCCTTGAACCTGAAGGATTGCCTCAGCCATCTCAACCTCCTTCCCATAGTGTCACCTCAAACCCAGGGCTGAAGTCCAGGAGCTGCACCGTCAGTTCCTCATCTGCTAACCATCTCTGTGGGTTGGCAGCAGTCCCACCTTCAACTGGGATCACTCAGGAGTAGACGGAATGCCTTCTAAAAGTTGAATGAGGGTCACTTATGTGCAAGGTACTATGCTATGTACTGTGAAATGTGCAAAAGAAGTGTAACAGGAGTTCCTCGTCTTATGGGAATTGACAGTATAAGAGAAAAAGAATACATATATATGAAGAAATAACCAATGATTCAAGGAAGAAAAAATTATACATTCTGAAGTCAGTAAATGCTGTAGGAATTTAGAGGTGAGAAAGATGTCTCTGAATTGGGAGGGTCAGAGAAAGGTAACCTGAAGGGTCACCCTGGCTTGGGAATGGGTCTCATGGTGAAGTTAGAAGTTAAGTGGAGATAAAGAGGGTTATGGAAGACATGCTTGAGAAATGGGGGGAAACCAGTCTGGCTGGGGTTGAGGCACTCAGTGAGAGAAAAGTCAGAGATAAAGTTGCAAAGACAGGTTTGCCCGATTATGGCAGACACTGATTACCAGGCTAAGGAAGTGATACTTACTCTGTACATAAATGGGGAGCTGGGCGGGCTTGAGAGACAAGGCCCCAGTGAAGCCTCTCACCCCCAAATCAGTTTCCTCTTTTCCCCATCCTGGTTTGTCTAAAGGCATTGACCTGGGAGCCAAGGATTCCAAACTTCTGTCAGTGCTGCCTCCTCCTGACCCACAGCTGTTCCAGGAAAGGTCATGGGAATTCAAGGACCTGAAGCAAGTCCCACATCTGACCTCAACTTGTGTATGTTTCACTTTCCCAGTCTACAAAAATGAGCCCATTACCTTTGTTTATCAAAGGATCGACAAAATTAGGATGACAGAAGTTGGATCTGCTCTTGCTTGGAGGGAAACTTTCATGGGCTTTCCATTGGTATCCAGAGGCTGTGTGGAACTCCGGAAGACAGAGAGGCTTGGCTCCGAAGGGTAGGCACCGATCCAGGCCCAGCCCTCCTCCCTCCCTTCCCCCTTCACTCCCTCCCAGCCAGGCAAGAGGAAGCAGCAGCTGTTGTCCTGTGGGGAAGACAGGCAGAGGTCCACCTGGCACTGTTGGGATTTTCACAACACCCGCCCCAACTTAAACACACACACACACACACACACACACACACACAAAACAGCAGCCCAGGGAGAAGTTGGGCCAACAGCAGTGACTTCGGTGATAGAGTGAGAAGGCAGCAGGGGTAGAGACTGCTGGTGAAAGGGACTTTTTCTTTTCTTCTGTCTTTTCTCTCACCATTTTGTCTTCTGCTTTTGCTCTCTCTCTCTTTCTCTCTCCTGTGAAACTCCTGAAACAGTCTCTGGCCTGAGGCCTAAATCTTTTTGTTCTTCCTAACCCTATTCCCCTTCCTCCATCTTTTTCTGTTGCCCCATGAATGCGGTGAAGGCAAAATAGCAAAATTAGCCTACCAAGTGCAAGGTGAAGTAGGTCTTGGAAGCTGGATGGTTTAGGCACACAAACAAAATCACCTCCCTTATCCAGATAATTGAGGCAAAGCAAAGGTTTCAGCTGAATTGCACATACGGTAGGTTCCACACTATTTTGATTTTCATGTGCAAACTTAAACCTTTACTCTCTTTTCCCTTTGACCTGAGGCAGCAGGGCCATGTTTATTTCACTTTCACACAGTCTCAAGGCAGCCTTCTCTAGAGCCCAGCATACTGGAGTTGAAGAGCAAACTAGGATAATTATAATGACAGGAAAACACAAGTGCAGAGGGAAGTTAAAATCGTGGCTTGAAAACATCTCACTCTAGGATAATGAGAAGTGGAAAGGAGGCCAAGCCAGGCATTCAGATGAGCTAGCAGCCTGCCACCCGGCCTCCACTCGAGGGCTGGACTGGCCTGTGCCGATACACATTGATACACAGTCTACTTTAAAACGTGGCTTTTCTCTCCTAACATTCATGTTTCTGCGGCAGCAGGGGTATAATTCTCTATCCAGAAGTTCAGCCTGCAAAGCTTCAGACACCTTAACAAAGAAGTGAACAGCTGTTCCCCCAGCCAAGGCCTGGCTGAGGGCAAACCAGAAGAGCCAGAGGCCTGTGTGAACTTGTTCTCGATTCTCTTTTGCCATCTAGTGGCATTTCTCATCTCCAACATCACTTTTTCTTCTAAAGATCCTGACCCTGCAGTCCACAGCTGTGCTGTCCATCTACTGAAATAATGTCCTCCTAGTCTCAAAACAAACTCCCCATCCTCCTGACTCAGAATCATAAATTCTGGACCAGAACACGACCTTATGATCAGCATGGGTTGTGTGACTTCTCCACTGTTATAATCCACACAACAGTCAGATAATCCTTTAAGCGGACAAGTTCTTTATTCATCTACTTAGAACCCTCCCAGGGTTCCCTATGGTGTTTGGAGGAAAAGTCACAGGCCTTCAAATGGTCTCTAAGTCTTCCCATGCTGGTCTCTGTTTCCTCTCTGGACCTCTCAGTCACCTACTCCAGACGCTCTGGACACACTGCTGTTCCTCCAGCATCTTAGGCATCTATCTGTTCTGGGGCTTTGGAAGTGCTACTGCCTCCAGTGTGAACATTCTTCCTCCAGATAATCAAAGTTCACTCTTATTTTCAAGTCTCTGCCCCAGAGTCAGCAACTTCAATGATCTTACATAAAATTACTGACCATCAACTCCTATCCCGTCCTACTTTTTTCACTAGCAATTATCACTTTGAGCAAAGTATACTTTTTTTTTTTTTTTTTTTTTTTTTTTTTTTTTTTTTACTGTCTTTCTCCAGTGGAATGTAAGCTCCACAAAGGCAGGGATTTTTGTCTTTGTTGCTGTTGTGGTTGTTTGTTTGTTTGTTTGTTTGTTTTTTGAGACAGGGTCTCTCTCTGTCACCCAGGCTGGAGTGCAGTTGTGCAATCATGGCTCACTGCAGACTTGATCTCCTGGGCTCAACCAATCCTCCCACCTCAGCCTCTGGAATAGCTGGGACCACAAGCATGCACCACTATGCCTGGCTAATTTTTCAAAATTTTTATAGAGACGTGGTTTTGCCACATTGCCCAGGCTGGTCTTGAAATCGTGACCTCAAGCAATCCTTCTGCCTTGGCCTCCCAAGGTGCTAGGATTACAGGTGTTGACCACTGTGCCTGACCATTTTTGCCTTTTTTGTTCAGTAATCTAACCCAAGTATTTTGACACTGCGTGGGTGCTTGATAAATGTTTGTTGACTATGTAAATGAAGCATGCCTGAGATTCTGAGATTATCTACTAGTTACAGGTAAATTCTGAAAACAAAAATACTATTCACCTCAGTTTCACAGGCCTTCTCACCCACAGAGGGCGATGCTCTGCCTTGTGTCTTGGTTCTCCTGAGTGTCATATTCCAAGCTCACAGGAGCCCCCAGAGTAGCACTGACCCAGACACTCCACACAGTTGTAACCACCACAAGGAACAGGACATACAAGGTGAAGGAAGCACTAAGGCAGGATGTCGAGAGCAGCAACACCAACAGCATCTAAGCACAAACATTTGAGCAGTATGAAAGTTTTGGAATTTTCAATAAAGAGGGAAGGGAACAAGTGAAATTGAGAGGTGTTAGCTGCCTTCTCCAGGTAAAGCCGTGTGGCCTTGGTTGGTACCTGGAACTGGACAGGTGAGGAGGAATGAATCGCTGTGGAATGGCTTTGCTATTGGGGACAGTGCTGGGTATCATGACCGTGATGATTCATCCACTTCCCTCGTGTCTCTTCCATCTCCTCTGAAAAATAAGCAATATCTTCACATGACAAGGAATCAGACAAAGCATCTTCCTAGGCTATTCTATCTGTACCTCAGATCAGAGAAGAAGCAACCCTTAGCCCCACAGCGACTGACTTTTCTCAGGATCCTGAGCTAGAGGTGTGTATGAGAGGACATAAATGACAACTCTTCCTGAAATTGATTTCAGTTGACACTGGGTCAGGTGCTTTATTAGTCATTAAAATCATGTGACCAGAGGATAAATATAGTCTTTGAATGTGACGATTCAAGCTTCCTCATTGCTGAACATGTTTAGGCAGGTACAGGTGTCCTTAGGTATCCATGTATTTGGGACATGTAAGTGGAGAGGCATGAACCTGATTCATTTCCTGATCTGGTGATGCTCCCCAGCCCGCCCCCAAACAGAGGCAGCACAGCCCAGGCCAGCTCTTAAGGAGTTCAGGAGTGAGAAGAGGCCCGCAGAGTTCTGACAGCCTAGAAGTGTGTGGATGCAGCCCCAGCCCACTGAGCAGGCGTCACAGCAAGAAGACCAAGCACACAGGTGAGGCTGCGGCAGGAGCTGGGGAGGAGTGAAGACGGAGAAGGAGGGATGGGTTCTGATCAGATGAGAGTACACTCGAGTGAGTGATAAAATGGATAAAGGAGGGACTGGATTTAGGGGAGATGAGGACACACATTGGGGAAAAGGGAGAGTGATATTGGGGATGGAGGTGAAAAATGGAAAAGAATGGGAACACAGGGAGAGAGATCCAAGATGGCCGACTACTAGCAGCTCAGGATTCTAGCTCCCAGAGAAAGCGCACAGAGAGGACGCCAAACTCTCAGACGAATTTTTGTTGCCCATGGACTAGGAGATTCCCAGCGGAGGAGCCCCACGGGTCACCAGCGCAACTCCTGTGGCTGGTGTGGTGGTTTTGCCGGCGCTTCGGCGCCGCGGTTCTCGGTGCAGAGTAAACGGGACTGAGTCCCCTTTTGGTCGACGTTTGGAGCTCTGGGAAGGCAGAGTCGCTCATTCACCTGATTGAAAACGGATTCAAGAGGGAAGCCAGACCAGAGATTCCCGGGCAGAAAAGCACCACGAATTTTTTTTTTTAATTGCATTTTAGGTTTTGGGGTACATGTGATGAACATGCAAGATTGTTGCATAGGTACACACTTGGCAGTGTGGTTTGCTGCCTTCCGTCCCCTCACCTGTATCTGTCATTTCTCCCCATGCTATCTCACCACGAATCTCAATGCTGCCGTTTTAGCCAGCGCAGTGGGTTGCTCAAATTTCCGGGATGGGAATCAACAAGTTGGACGTTCACTCAGAGACCTAATTTGAAAGTTGGCAATCACAAAGATGACAGGTGGATAAACTCACAATGATGGGAAGAAACCAGCGTAAAAAGGTTGAGAATACCCAGAATCAGAATGCCTCTCCTTCTACAGGGGATCACAGTTCCTCATCAACAAGGGAACAAGGCCTGATGGAGAACGAGTGCGTTCCATTAACAGATTTAGGCTTCAGAAGGTGGATAATAAGGAACTTTCGTGAGCTAAAAGAACATGTTCTAACCCAATGTACAGAAACTAAGAACTTTGAAAAAAGGTTTGACAAAATGTTAATGAGAATAGATAATTTAGAAACGAAAATAAGTGAATTAATGGAACTGAAGAATACAATACGAGAACTTCACGAAGTATGCACAAGTTTTAACAGTCAAATTGATCAAGCAGAAGAAAGGATATCAGAGATCGAAGACCTATTTAATGAAATGAAATGAGAAGACAAGATTCGAGAAGAAAGAGTAAAAAGGAATGAGCAAAGTCTCCAAGAAATATGGGACTATGTGAAAAGACCTAATTTACAACTGATAGGTGTACCTGAATGTCATGAAGAGAATGAATCCAAGTTGGAAAATATTCTTCAGGATATTATTCAGGAAAACTTTCCTAACCTAGTAAGGCAGAACAATACTCAACTCCAGGTAATCCAGAGAACACCACAAAGATATTCCTCAAGTAGAGCAACTCCAAGACACATAATTGCTAGATTCACTAGGGTTGAAATAAAGGAGAAAATTCTGAGGGCAGCTAGAGAGAAAGGTCAGGTTACCCATAAAGGGAAGCCTATCAGACTTACAGCAGACCTCTCAGCAGAAACCCTACAATCTAGAAGAGAGTGGGGGTCAATATTCAATATCCTCAAAGAAAAGAATTTTCAACCCAGAATCTCATATCCAGCCAAACTAAGCTTCATAAATGAAGGAAAAATAACATTTTTCACGAACAAACAAGCACTCAGAGATTTCAGCACCACCAGGCCTGCTTTACAAGACCTTCTGAAAGAAGCACTACAAACAGAAAGGAACAACCAGTATCAGTCATCCCCAAAATTTACCAAAACGTGAAGAGTATCTCCATAATGAAGAATTTACATCAACTAATGGGCAAAATAACCAGCTAGCATTAAATTACAATATTGAACTCACAAATATTAATCCTAAATTTAAATGGATTCAATGCCCCAATTAAAGATACAGACAGGCAAATGGAATAAAAAGTTAAAGTCTATTGGTACATTGTATCCAGATCTAACTCACAATGACACACAAAGACTCAAAATAAAGGGATGGAGGAAGATTTACCAACTAAATGGAGAGCAAAACGAAAACAAAAACAAAAAAAAAAAAACAAAACAGAAGTTGTAACTTTTGTCTCTGACAAAAGAGACTTTAATAGTAACAAAGACCAAAAGAAACAAAGAAGGACATATAATGGTAAAAGGATCATGCAACAACAGGAGTTAATGATCATAAATATATACGTCCCCAGTATAGGAGTTCCCAGATACATAAGACAAGTTCTTATTGACTTATAAAGAAATTTGGACTCCCGCACAATAATAGTGGAAGATTTTGACATCGCATTGTTAACATTCGACGGATCAATCAGATAGAAAATTAATAGGGACATCTATGATTTGAATTTAGACCTGGAATAAGTAAACTCAGGGAATATTTATAGAATTCTCCACCCCAGGTCTACAGAACATACATTTTTCTCAGTATCATATTGCACCTATTCTGAAAGTTACTACATAATTGGGGGAAAAAAGAAAAAGAAGAAGAAGAATGAGAACACAGAGGAGATGGGAATGCGGATGGGGAGGGGATGAGACACAGACACAGGAACATGGGGACACAAAAGAGATGAGACTTGAGGGAAAGGGGAGAGGACAGAGCGACAGGCAGCAGGGCCAGAATGAAGGGAGGAGAAATACAAGGTGAGAGATGGGGTCCCAGTGGATGTGAACACACAGAAGAAGAGGCAGAGATGAGACACAAAGGGAGGAAAAGAGATAAGTGGGTAGGGAGATGGGTGATTAGCTCATATGAGCAGGTATAGGAGGATTAATTTCTCGACTGACCACTGTCCCAGTGACCCCTGCCCTCTATTCTGACTGCTCCCCCTAAGAGAGATGGCACCGATCAGAGCAGGATACTTTCCCTTTCTGCTGCTTCTGCTGCTGGGGCTGTGGGTGGCTGAGATCCTAGTCGGTGCCAAGCCCAAGGGCATGACCCCATCTCAGTGGTTTAAAACTCAGCATGTGCAGCCCAGCCCTCAAGCATGTGACTCAGCCATGAGAGACATCAACAAGCTCACAAAACGGTGCAAAGACCTCAACACCTTCCTGCACGAGCCCTTCTCCAGCATGGCCGCCACCTGCCAGACCCCCAACATAACCTGCAAGAACAACCATCAAAACTGCCACCAGAGCCACAGGCCCGTGTTCCTGACCATGTGTGGGCTCACCACAGGGAAGTACCCGAACTGCAGGTACAAAGAGGAGCACCTGAACAAGTCTTACATAGTGGCCTGTGACCCTCACCAGAAAAAGGACCCTCAGCAATTCCACCTGGTTCCTGTGCACTTGGACAGAGTCCTTTAGGTTTCCAGATCTCCTCACTCTTCGGCTGAGCCTCAGGTCCCTCTCCTGGGCTCTGTAGCACTCCTCCTACACCCAGAGCGTTCTCTTCCCCTCATCTCTTGGGACTCTGGTTCAGCCTCTGCTGGGAGGCTGAAGCTGACACTCTGGTGACCTGAACTCTAGAGTCATGGCCTTTCATCTTTTTGTCGCTGTTTTCCCAGATGCTTATCCCAAGAAAGGGGCTGAGCAAGCTCAAGGCTGTGGGTTCCCTGGTCTCTGCCTTTGCACATGTCTCCCTTGTCCTCTGGCATTATGGCAGCATGACAAGAGGAGGAAATACATGGAAAAGGGGCCTATGATTTGTGGATAGAGCTTGTTTCTGTTCCTGAACTAGAAGTCTGCCCCAGCTCTGACGTGGTAGTGAGGTGACCTGAAGCAAAGAAAAATATAAAGAAATACCACTTCAAATTTATATAGTGCTTCCACGTGAACCCTCTAATCCCTTGTGACATAGACTTGACAGGGATTGTATGCCTTCTTTATGGATGAGGAAATTGAGATTTTAGAAAGCTTAATGAATTAAATAGCTTGTCTAATCAGTGAGCAGCAGAACCTGGACTGGAACCTAGGTCTCCTTACTTAAATAGAGCATACTTTCTACTCTACCAGTTGGGCAAGAAAGCAGATTCTGTTACAGGAGCAAGAGGGGAACTAGGTGAGAGTTCACCCATGAAGAATGAGTGCTCTGAAGAGCCAGTTACCCTGTGTTGGCTGCAATGAAGCTCATTACCTCTCTAGCCAAGAGATTGTTTATGAGGTGCTCTGGCATCTTATTCATTCTCTCTCCTCTCTCTAACTGCCCCTCCCGCTTCTCTAGCCCACTGCTCTTCCAACCTAGGCCCTGGGCCTGGCTCTGGCTAGATCCCCTTGGCCTGAAGATATAAGGTAAAGTGGGTGTCTCAGCTTCAGCCCCCAGATCCAGGATCACATTTCCCTTGACCTTAAGGGACTTCCGTGGCCCTGAGCCTGCTTGTCACAAACAGGCTGGTGGGAGCTGCCAGAGCTTCCTTCCTCCTGATAATGATCTCCCCTGCCTTGTTGCTTCCCTGGCTCTCCACTCTGGCAGTCTGCCAAGGCCTGAGGGGTTGAGATGCGAAAATGCCATTTCCCTGTCCCCCCGGGCTACAGATACCACTTCTCCCTCTCTGGTGAGTGGGGCGGAGAAGGCTTGGCTTGGTATTGGCCAGTACTGATGGTCCCTCCAGCATTACCTGACCAGCACCATCCCCTTCTTTCTTCCTCTATCTTAGTCTCAAACAAGCATTGTGTCCGCCACCCTATTTCCAACCGAAATTTATTATAAGACATTCCCAGCCCTGCTGAGGATCCACTCTACCGATCCCTCCCCACCAGCTCCTGTGCTTTTTCACTACCGACCAGAGTCAGCGTAAGCTTTGGAGCCAGACAGAATCAGGTATAAATCCTGATTCCCTGCCTCTAGCGATTGGCTGGTCTGTTTCTCTACAGCAAAATGAGAGTAATCCTACCTGCCAAACAGGATTGCAGATAAAGATGTGGAAATGGTATCTAGGAAGCTCTTGTCAGCCCCAAGTACTGACAGGCATTAGATCATGATAACTAATAGTAGCAATATCCATCTTTGGAAAGCATGCAGATCCAAGGCAAACTTCCCCACTAAGGTTTCCCCAGAGAATTTCTTCTTCCAGAGTGTTGTTCATGAGTGGATTAGAGTACAAGCCTGCAGACAGAGTCCTGGGCCCAGAGAGCTGTGACCTTGGAAAGAGCCGTAAGTACCACCAGTGGTTCTCACTGGTGAAGCTTGGAGAAGACATGATACTCCCCAGCTCCACCATTACTGCTAATATAAGTAAAGTTTGTAAAATTCATACCTAGTAAACAATTTAGGACAGTCATGTCTGCTTACAGGTGTTAATTGTTAAAACTAGTCTACAGATTGTTTCGTGAATGCTTTGTTAAATTAAGAAATTTAAAGTGCAATAATCTCTGAAGACAATATGTGATGATGTATCTTGTTTCTAATAAGAAACTTTTTTGTCTTTGCTTTATCTTGTTAGGGAGTTAGATGTCAGTGTATAAAACGTACTGTGGTGTAATAGGTTTAAAATAAACTCTTTAAAAGAAGAGTACTGAACTAGCCCTGTAGATTTGTCTAGTGTACGTGATGAAATCTGTAGCTTTATTGGGGTGAGGTCAATGCTCTGCTGGTTTACTTTCAAGTGCCTAGGGTTTTTTTAGTTTGACAGGTGCAGACTTTTTAAATTGCACTTTGCTTTAGAAATTGTAGGGTGGGAGGAGGACATCTTAACTATGTCATGATTATATTTAGAAAATTATGGGCACAAATCTGAGTTAGCCTGAGGAAAATTGCTTCAGTCTCCACATTACCATTTTAAGTTCACATAAAATGTAACAGCTCCTGGTTCACTGTCATGGCTCCATGGCATTCAATGGTGAGAGGTAGTGGTATAAACACGGGCATATTTGGAAACTGAATGTTAGATAAAATTATTAGCCTTAAGATTGGCAAGCTAGTGATCAATGCTAGAGTGGGAAGCTGGCAAGCCAGTGGCCTTAGATAAATGCCTTTCAAGTGTGAGCTTAGTAGTCAACCCTAAAATACTTAAGCCTAACACTTATTTGTGATCATTATGAATCCCTTCAGTTACATTAGGGGGGAAAGTAGTTGATTATATACCTCATTCTTAGTCCAGTCAGTCTTAAAAATATCTTGGGTTACCCACTCTGTCCACTCCCATAGGCTTCAGGAAAAGTCATACAAGTGCATGATTTTCAGCCATATGTGTTTTCTGCAGTAATTTCTCTTGTTCCTGGCCAAACTACCCCCAAAATCCTTACCATTTCGCAGAGTTGTGCCATCATTTATACACCCACTTTCACTGTAAGTGTACCACCACATTGCATTTCTGTTTGCATCATGCCTTTCAGGAGACTAAGCTACTGTTTTCCAGGGTGAATTTGAGTATAAAGAAAATGTAGACAAGGAATTGCCCAATTCCAAATTCTGCCTTTGCTGACTTAATTTAAATGCTCGTTTCTCTGAACCCATTTTCTCCTATCTTCTCTGGGGGTTTCAAAAGGCTTCACTAATTGATTTCCAAGAAGTACTCATGGCAAGTTTGTAAAAGTTCTTGAGACCTAAATTTCTTCTCAAGAAAAGATCTTAAGTTATACATTTTGATTGTGTAGAAGTTGTTCCACTAAAGGAATAAATGTCCATTAAACAAGAAAGAAAGAAAAGAAAAGAAAGAAAGAAGAAAAAGAAAGAAAGAAAGGAAGGAAGGACGGAAGGAAAGAAGGAGAGCAGATTATTAAACAATTCTAACAGAATGAGGGCCAATAAGTTGATGAGTTGGCCACCACAGCCAAACGACTGAGCGTAAAAATAATTACTACCTGGAAACAGAACATTGCGATTATCGAATGGACTGCTGGGATTCTTGAATAAATCTGAATTATCTAAAATCTGAATTTGTTTTGAACTCCTGTGATCACTACACTACGTTCACCATTCTAAGGGATGATTTTCACTTGAGGTGCATGGAAAAGCAAGATACTTGAGGCAGCCGATTTTTCTCTTCATTTTATTATTTTTTCACAATCTGCTGTATTGATGATCTTTCTTGTGGATAACATGGTTTTTCACAAAATTTAAAGTGGCTAAAATTGTGCCTTTAATGCATCTTCCCAAAATAAGAATTTCCAAATAAAACTTTTTTCTTGAAAGACTGATGACCTAAATAGCATTAAATAACCAGAAAGTCCTGAAGTAGTCTGTGGTGATAGAGTTCAGAATAGTTGTAGCCTTGGGGAATTACTGACTGTGAAGGGGCATGGGGGAGCCTTCTGAGGACCTGGAAACATTCCGTTCTTGGACTGGTTATGTTTCCTGTGTGAAAGCTCATTGAACTATACACTTAAGATTTGTTTCAAGAAGCAGCAAGTGGTCATACAAATAAATAAGAAAAAAAAGATTTGTGTACTTTACGTAAGTTATACCTCAATTTCAAAAAAATCTTTAAAAAATATGCATTTCTTAAGGAATTATTTTATTTACATAATAAATAATACACCAACCAATTCTAAAAAGATTATGATATAATTAAATCATTGATAGAATTATGATAAGATTTAATTTCCATTGTTCTGCTTTGTACTGTTTGTTAAATTAAATACTACTTGTGCTATTTATTAAATTGTTATAAATACCTTGGGTCAGCTGGGCACAGTGGTTCTCACCTGTAACCCCAGCACTTTGGGAGGTCCAACCAGAGCAGATCATTTGAGCCAGGAGTTTGAGACCAGCCTGGGCAACATGGTAAAACCTCATCTCTACAAAAAATGCAAAAATTAGTTGGGTGTGGTGACACATGCTTGTAGTCCAAGCTACTCCAGAGGCTGAGGTGGGTGGATCTCTTGAGCCCAGAAGGTCGAGGCTGCAGTGAGCCATGATCTGTACTGCAGCCTGCCAACTAATTTCCTATTTTTATATTACCTGTCAACTAATTTCCTATTTTTTAACCATGTGGAAATTTTTGATAATCATTTCATATATAATATAAGCTTTTACAACCATTAATAATAGCATCTTTCTTAAAATAATAATATGCATTTTTACTTCCACTAATGGACAGAATTCCAACATAAGAGATTTTTTTTAAGTTCACAAGGAAAATTTCACACCAAGTTACATCTAGAATGCTCACAAATATTTGGAAGTAACTATTCTGATATTAACAATAAATCCAAATGATCTGGCCTATTCTCATTACTGTTGCCTTACCTGTTTAGATTTGACAGTCACTCAATCCTTCACGTGATCTTGATCACAGCCAAGTTTAAGGATGCCAGGAATAGTGATGAAATAGGAATTTGGCAACTCAGCCTTCCAAAAGCCAAAGCTGAGATACAAAAAAATAATAATTTAGGTCAAATACCAAGGCTGGCTGAACTGTGATGCCTTCCTATTTGAAAGCTGAAGAATGGGAAAAGAAGAATGCTTAATTATAAGATATTCTGTTGCTGGGGCTGGGAGCACGGAGAGAAGAGGATGGTGTCCAGGGGAGCTCTGCCAAGTCTTATGCAGATGGACTTAAGAGAATTGTTTCAACATTGGACCAAAGGAGCGGACATGGAGTTCAGTAAAGACAGTAACCCAAGACCTGGAGCCAGATGAGCTGGCTCTCCTAGGAGGGAGCCTGTCTGGGGTAGACTGGGGAGGAGACTTTTCTACATGACCCTGGTTCCCAGAACTCTCCACACACTGAAGTAGATGAGCCCCAGACACCATGAA